GGGTGTGTGATTGGCGTGACCGCGAGTCTTTCGAATCTCGAGCTCCTCCTCCTGCTTCCCTCCCCGCTTCTGCTCCTCCTTGCAGAGATGGGGCCTCGAGCTCCAACCCAGGCCACCCGGTGCGAAACCTTCGCTCGGACCTGCTCCCGGGCTCGGCGCAGGCGGCTCGGGCTGACGCGCGGATCCGCGGCGTGTCGACGCGCGGGCGGGGTGGTGGCATCGCGCGAGGGATTTAAAGTTTAAGCTGCGTTCTGTGGCGAGGTATAACGTCAGGCAGCGCGTCGTCTTTGCCCCGGCCAGGCCCCTCGCCAAAAAGTGCGCAGGGGGCGGGGCGCGGTTTCGGGAAGCCCTGACACATCGGCACCGCGTCCGGCCGAGGGCTTTCCATCCGAGCTCCAGAGACCCGCCGCGCGACGTCCCGCCGCTCGGCGGAGAGTCACTCGCTTCGCCTTGCGCGTGCAAGCTTTGCGGACCTCGGCTTTCTCCCAGGCGCGCTGGGCCCGAGGGCCGTGCGCATTGCGCCCGAGGTTCCTCGCGGCTGTCATGGAGGCCAATTTCAAAAAAACACTAGCCAATCGAGCAGCGCGCTTCGCGGCGAGAACCGTGCTGGCCACGGGTCCGCTCTCGGGGGACTGGGCGCGCGGCCCCGAGGGCTCGAAGGCACGCGGCGCTGCGGAAAGCTCGCGCGCCGCATCCCCCCCGCCCGACCTACGAGCCATCGCCCGTTCCCCCTGAAAGCTGACGTCATCGATCGGCGCGCGCGGGCGAACGTTCGGGCAACAGGAAAACGGCAGCGGCTCGCGTCAGGCTGCGATGCAGGAGCGCAATGAGCAGCGTGGCGGCTTTCGGGCAGCCCGCCAGGATGCGGCGCAGCGAGGCCGCCGCGTAGCTGAGCGCACCATGGGCCTTGATCGCGCTCGGCTTCGCGCATATCTGAACCGCAATCCGACAAAGTCGCATCGGGGAGCGTACCATTCTCGCTTCCTCCAGCAGCTTGCAGAGCTTGACCGTCTCGTCGCACTTCGTCGTGTCGAGGATTGCGCCCAGTGCGTCCTCAGTGAGTTCGCGGCCGATCTCCGCGCCCAGGTCCAGGGTGAAGGCGCAGTCGCTCAAGGAACGCGCGGCACCAGTGCCTCGAAATCGCTCCGATTCGTTAGCATCTTGCCGAGATGCTGCCAGGGGTGGACTGATGCGCCCCCGTGCGCGAAGCAGTGTGAACCGAGGTAATCAGACGGCTGCCGCTAGACTCCTTCGGGGTGCGCGCCATCTGAGTAATGGCCCGTTCCTGCGGCCGCTGCGGCAGTTCCTCACGTTGGGATACCAGAAGTCCCAGCGCGAATAGCCAAACATCGCTGACGTGCCACAAACTGCGCGGCGAGAAATGGAACTGACCAGCTCCTGTTCTCCATTGGTCAGAGAGTGCGGCCTGCCTAACCATGCCCGCAGAAATTGGAGGGAGGGCCTCCCAAGTACCTCCTGGAAGTCGCAGCGACAGCTGATCGTGCCGCCCCCGATGTCACCCCAAAAAACGAATCGGTTGGTCAGCCATGACAGAGGGCTCAGCGAGGTCATTGTCCAAGTTGCCCCAACCAAAGTTTTCGGGCGCATCTTTCGCCTTGGAATATCGATGAGCCTGGCCAGCTCCTCGATCCAAGGAGCTCTCTGGCCATTTCTTCCATTGCTCCAAACTGCGCTTGCCAGAGGCATCATGAACTCATGAACTTCCCCAGCCCTACCAAGGATGGAGTCGACACTGTCTTCCAAATTGGGTCGAGACCAGAGGCGAACATCAGCTGGGCCTGCGGACCAGAGCATCGAATGACCGTTGACGTATTGATTCGATGCAGCCAGCGTCCGAACTCGGCCAAGTGCCGAGGCAATTTCTTGATCGCAGTGGGAGACCCGGCACCGAGTCCCCTACCCGCAACAAGCATGGAGATCTGATGGCGAATGGACTGTCGTTTGCTGCGCACGTTCTTTGTCCAACGTGCCGCCGCGGCCCCAGCGTGCTCCTCGTCGGAGTGGGCAGGAAGACGGTTTGGGATTGGATTCTTCATTTTCGCCCATTTGTACTCGGCATGGCCATGGCAAGTCTGGCTAGCAGCATGACCTTCGACCTTGCCGTATCTCTCGCACAGCTCCTGTCCCAAGGCACCCAGCGCAGCATCCCGAGCAGACGGCGCAAAAACCGTGTCATGAGCACCCTTGACGAGACGCGCAGGCATGTCCCAATCGGCAGGCCATCGCGAGCATCCAATAGTTGGTCCGCTCGGCACAAGATGGGGTTCTGCAAACTGCCCCACCCACATCTGGCGCTCATGGCCTAGCACTTCCAAGACCACTGGCGCATGAGGTAGAGTGCCCGCGTCCTCGACCACGTGCGGCAGATAGGTTCTGTCTAGCAGCACCTTCGAGACCATAAACATGCCAATCCGACTGCCAGGCGTAGACTGCTTGCGCGTGGTTCCCTGAACGCGGTCCACCACGCCGCCATCATAATACAGATGGGGCAAGACGCCCAGCTCCTCGTACTCCATGTTGAAGTCACCGCAGATCAGCCACACAAAGCCACGGGCCGTGAGCTTAGCAGCATACATGGCCATCTCTTACAAGAGATGCATACAGCTCGGTGACAGGCCTTCGCCAGTCACCAAGTAAAGCATGACGATGACAATGCCACCAGGTATGCCACAGTGGACCTGGGCTGCCATGGCCCTACCAGGGACAGGAACAGGGCCAGTGCGACACGGTGGTGACGTGATCATAGCTCTCCCTCGCGAGAGGACCGCCGAGCCACCAGAGAAGCCGCCTTTGTCGGTGACCTCAGCAGCGGCCCAGATACCACTCCAACTTTTATCAGAGGCACGCCGCCGAAGATCAGGGAGACGGCTGTCATTAGCTTGGCGTTCCCGCGCCGCAAGCACCACCGCTGAGGACCTCGGCAAATAGGTCATCGGCTGTTTGCTATCAGAGACATTGGCCGTGATGGCCTGGCCCCTTGATAGCATCGGCTATGCCTTCCACCCCGGGGCGGGCTTTGCCGCGGCCAATGCCTTGCTGTCCTGGCCTGGCGCGGGGGGGCTCGCGCGCAGAACCCGGCGCGGGGGGATTCGCGACCATTCCCTGAGTTTCGTCGTTCTGAAGTGGCGCGACACCGCGGTTGCACGCGGCCGCTTGGCTAGGAGATGGATTGCCAGTCCCGCCCACAGGAGTCGGCGAGGGCGCTCGCCCATCAGACGAGGCCCTCCGAGCATAAGGCACGAGTGCCACCGCCTGCTGCAGCCCAGCATCGCCGGGAACCATCTGAACATATGCAGCATGCTCAGCACGAACACTTGCCGCCAACACACAGGCTGAACAGCCAGGGTTGAGCACAGCTACGCCGCGCGGTTCTTCTTGTGCGCCTCGCTGGCCAGGTTGGCCAACGTGAGCCCCCGCTGTCGTTTGTGCTGGGCGCGGATCTCGCTCGTTGAAGGCCTTGAGCTCCTCCGCGCCCACGTCCACGTCCATGAAATCAGACTCTTGCACTCGGGCCCCGATGGGGCATTCATCGGCGGGGCCAGCCGCAGCAGGTCCAGCGCCTTCAGGAGGGGCGGGTGCACCAGCGGTGGCAGGACCATGAAGCCCGCCGGCAGCAGGCCCCGAGGCAGCAGATGCCTCGTGGCCCGAACGGTCGCGCTCCCTGTTCGCCTCATCGAGTGCTCGCAGGCCCTGGATAGCAGCGCACAGCTGGCCCTTGACCGTGCCGCCGTCGCCCAGCTTCCCGACGCTGACCCCCGGGCCCGCCACGGGCGTGGAAGGCGCTGCGCTCTCAGGCGCTTGCAGCACGATGGACGCCAGCCTGCCCTGCTCAGCCTGCACCTCCAGAAGTGCAGCCTCCGTGTCCTGGATGGTCTTCTGCTGCTCAACCTGCTTCGCACGCAGGGCCTCCATCAGCTGCACGATCTGCGCCAGAACCTCATCCTGGGCCTTGCGCTTGCGCTCCAGCTTGAGCGAGCGCTGCGCCAGGTCACGGAGGCGCGTGCCCAAAGGGCGCGCGGCTGCCACCTCCGAGCGCAGCTTGGCACGCTCGTCCTCCACCGTGGAGCGCAAGAGCACGAAGGCACCGTCCTGACATGCGAATCTTTGATGCACGAGAGGCGATCGTCGATCTCCGCGATGCGCTCGCTCTTCGTCTGCACCTCGTCGACCTCAAGCTCCATATCCAGCTTAGCGATGGCTGAGCGATGGTGCCAGGGCGTATTTGAGAATTTGCCAGGCGTTCCTCCACCGCTTGCCCCTGCCTTGCTAGCAGCTCGGAGGGCAGAAATAGGTCGAGGGCATAGGAACGCCACCCCTTTAGCCAACCCGCACTCCGTGCACTTGGCGGCGTCCCCATGGTTCCACCACGCCGGCCCCGAGGCCGGGTGCTTGCACTTCCTGCAAGATCATGCCGTAGCCAGGAGGGCGCGCTGCTGAGACTTCCTAGAACACCCACTGCCCGCTGTACCTCCGCCTGGTCGGTTCGCCATCCCGCCGCTGGTGCTATGCAGCACAGCAGGACGGCTGTCCACCAACCTCGTATGAACGTTATCGTGACTGCACGTTCCCTCGGGAACAGTCGGTTGACTCGCAACAGTGCGCGGTCGTTTTGAACAAGTATGCTGCTGCACCCCAACCATGTTTTGGGTAAGAACGGCTCGGGAAGGGAGGGGAGGGGAAGGAGCAGGAGGAGGAGGAGGCGGAGGAGGAGGAAGAGGAGGAGGGAGGGAGGGAGAGAAGGAGGGATGGAGAGATGGAGGCAAGACTATCGCTTGCAACGAAAGGGAAGCGACTGGTTCTTGTAGCCGACTCGACCCGAGCCAATACCTTACAGTGGCTGTGGTCAGCCCTGCCACTCATTCCAGCCCTGGCCCGTTCCCTTTTCGTTTGTCTTGCTCTTGTGGTCCTGGTGTCCTTACCCTAAATTGTTTCGGGCTCGTTTCAGCCCCTCGAGTTTTCCAGCTTTGGCCGCTTCCACGTCCATGGGGCTTCCAACCTCCACTTGTTCCAGCTTTCTTATAAGCAGTTCCCCTGCCTTCGTTGGACACCACTTCATCGGACTGTGGGCAGTCATGTAGTCGACCTCACTTCCACTGGGGCGGACGTGCAGGCTGGCAGACTGTTCCCGGAGCGGTTCGAGGGAATTCTGCACCAAGCGCTTCTGAATTCAAACCAGATTCGTTTTTACGCAATTGATGGTCTTGTGTACAGGCCCGTTCTTCCTAGCATCGGATGCCTGCTAGCACAGATCGCACATTCGCATTCCCAAAGGCAAAAGTGTAGTGCGACACATCCGTCCGTGGGCAGCCAGTGCCTAACCAAATCCACTTGACTCGTCTCCCCTCTTCTCGTGGTTGGCGCCTTGTTGACACGGTGTGCGCCGCAGTAGACCTCAGACAGCTGGCAGGACTTCAGAGGCAGGAGACAGGAGACAAGACAAGGGAGTGAGGACTCGAGGCCTCAGCCGCACCAATACACTTTTTGCAGAAGTTTGGCGGATCCTATTTTTGTTTTGCTGATCGCTTCAGGCGAAGAGATGAGGATATATGTAATTCTGAAGGCTCACTCCACATCACGGTTGCGTGACTTTGCGATGTCGCAGACGGGGCATGCTTGCCATACATCGGTATAATCAAGAGTGGGCCTCGACGTTGTTCAAGGTTTTTTGTTTTGGGCCTTTGCAGTAGCCCGTTGACACTGAGGTCGCCGTCGTCTCCACTCTGAACAGCGCGTCAGCGAGGTCTCCGAGAATGATGCTGCGCTACTGGATGACGGGCGCCTTGACAGCCTCTCAGAGGCCAGATGGGAGGAGGTGGCGGAGGAGGATGAAGAGGAGGAGGAGGAGGAGGAGGAAGGATACTGATATGAATAAGAAGCATAATACTCAGAAAGAGACGACGAATGATAACACTTATAATGAATAATACTGATCATAACCATAATAACAGCAATACTCATCTTAGTAAAAAGGCGAAGAAGACAAACAATGATACCCATACTAAACATAGTCATAACAATAGTACGACTATTATTATTGTTCTTCTTCTTCTTCTTCTTCTTATTATTATTTAAATTACTGTTATTACTATCATTATTATTATTAGTATTATTATTATTATTATTTTATTTTATTGTTATTATTATTATTATTATTATCATTACCTTTTTATTATTAATATTTTAAAATCACATAAGCATACTAACACTCGGAGGGGAAGGAGGGGGAGGAGGAGGAGGAGGTGGATTTGGAGCAGGAGGAGGCGGAGAAGGAGAAGGAGGAGGAGGAGGATACAGCGCCTCCAAGCCCAGGCAGAGACCCGGCCGCGCGCGACGTTCATCAAGGTGGACGTTAAGGCAGCGTTCTTGCGGGCGGCGCGCATGCCTGCCCTAAATTGAGGCCATGGACGCGGCTGTACCTGAAGTGGCCGGGGCGCTGATGGCTTGGTACACGGGCCCTGCCGACCACTACTGGCGCGGAGCCGGAGGGCGCCTGGAGGTAGTGCGGAGCCACCGTGGCTTCGACCAGGGGGACCCCGGCTCTTGTCCCCCGCGGGCTCCGCCATCCCGCAGCAGGGGGCCCTGGATCAGTTTTTGCGCGAGCTGCAGCAGGAGAACCCCAACGCCAGGCTCTACCTCGACGACGCCTGCGTCGTGGTGCGTGCTGACCTTGCGCTCTGGGCACTTGCAGGCGTGCTAGCTGCGCTGGCGCCGCTCGGACTCGAGCTCAACGCGCGGAAGACGCTGATCTGGTCCCCATCAGTGGCGCAGGTCATCCCTGCCGAGCTCGCGGGCAACGTCGTGCCGACGGTGCCCGTCCTGGGGGCGCAGCTCCGGGCGCCGGAAGATGCCGCGGGCGGTGCGTTCCACTTGGGGGATAACTCCAGTGGGCTCGACGAGGCGGCGGCGCGCTTGCAACGCCTCTGGGCGCGCCTGGGGGAGCTGAGGCAGGGCGACCTCGCGCGCCAGGCGACAGGCGCGCTCCTCCGCACCTGCGCCGGCAACGCCAGCCAGCACAACCTCCAGCTGGCCTTGGCGTCCGACGCCGAGGTGTTCCAGTACGACGCGGTGCTGCGCGGCTGCTAGGAGGAGCTCGCCGAGCGCCCTCTTGGGCCTGAGGCGTGCGAGCTGCTGGGGCTGCCGGCGAAGCTGGGCGGCGCCGGCGTCCAGTGGGCCGCCACCTGCCGCGCGGCCGCCTACTGGGCTTTCTGGGCGCAGGCAGCCAGCGAGGTGCGCGGCGACCTCGGGTTCGCCTCGCTGGAGGACGCCCTGGCGGCGCTCCCCCGGGCCGCGGCGACGCTGCAGGCGGCCCGCGCCGAGCTTGCGTTGGGACCCCCAAGGCGGCTGCGCTGGGGGCCCAGGTCCTGGTTGCGGTAGTGCATAAGACAACCCACGCGGCGGCTAATCGGCGAATGCTGCATATCCGCGACCAGGCAGCCTTCCTGTCGGCCGGAGGGGCCTGAAGCCGGGGCCTTCTTGCAGTGCCCCGCTGAGCCTGCTTGCGCCTTCGAGGACGTCCACTGGGCGACGGCGCTCTAATGCCGCCTTCACTTGCCGCGGCCAGAGTGCTCTGGCGACGAGTTGGAGCGGGCCTCGGCGACCTGCTGCAGCTGGGCGCGGAGGTGGCCGTCTGCGCCGCGGCGCTCGACCCTGACAGGTTCCACGCGGCCGCCCGCCAGCGCGGCGGCGGCGTGGTCCGGCGCCGCGGCGACCTCGCCCTGGCCGTGGGCGGCTTCGCAGGGCGGTGGCGGCGCTGCGCTGCGAGCCGCTCCGCGAGCAGCGCGTCCCGACGTGGGACCGCGCCCGCGCCCGCCGAGGGGCCCAGGGTCCCGATCCTCGAGCGGGCCATCCTCGATGTGGGTCTTACCCCGAGGAGGGCGGCCGCCAGTTGGTGGACGTGACAGTCCGCCACCCGGCCGTTGGGGACGCGGCCGCCGCGCGGGCCGCGACGCGGTGCGGGCCGGGGAGGCTTCGCGACGCGCCAGGCGCGAGAAGCACGGGCGGTACCCCGGCGATCGCCTGACGGCGTTCGTGGAGGCCGCCGGCCGTTGAGCGCCGCGCGGGTTGGCGCGGCTGGGCGGTGGGCGGGCACGGCGGCGGCGGCAGGAACGGCAAGGCGGGCGCGGCCGGGCGGCGGGCGCGCGGTTGGTTGGCTCCTGGCGGTGGGACCGCGGGGCCCTGGATGGGGCGCTTGGCGGTGGGGCCGCAGGGCCCCAGGCCGCAGGCCAGGCGTCCGTGTGGGCGCTGCTCCGCACCATCGTCGCGTTCGCCTTGGCAACCCTGTGTCGGATTCTATAGGCCCAGACGGGCGCGCCCCCCCAGCTCCAGGACCAGTCGCCGCTGAGCGGCGCGCTGATCCCGGGATTGGGGGGTTGCGCCCGCCCCCGTTCACAATGCTCGGGCGCGCGGACAGACGCGTTCGCCGCTCGGAGGAGGAGGAGGAGGAGGAGGAGGAGGAGGAGGAGGAGGAGGAGGAGGAGGAGGAGGAGGAGAACGGGTGGATGCCCGCTCAGTAGTGCAGCGCCCCCAGATCTTCGACGCGCCTGTTTTTGGATGCGCTGGGCTCTAGACCTCTCCCGCCCCCGTTTTTTCTCGCAGGCGGTTGTTCGGCCCCGACCCCCGTTTTCGACGAATAGTGAAGCCGCTCAGAAAGTGAAGGGATCTCGGGGGCGCACCCTCAGAGGGGGTGCTCGAACGCACCGTTCTCGAGGATGCGCGGCCCCTGGTATATCCCTGGGTCGGGCTCCGAAATATTGGTATTGGTCCATTCGAAAACTCCACGAAGTCGAGGATCGGGTTTCCGCTCCTCCTCCCCCCCGTTTCGCCGCCAGCTGGCCTCGGCTTCGTCCCTCCGCTGGCTGGAGTATCGGAGTCTAAGGAACACTGCGGCCTACCCTGTGCGGGGCGCGCTGACAATCGCACCTGGGGCCACTTTCCCATCTGGGCGCGCAGAGAACGCTCGCGTCCGAAGCACTGCCGTCGCCGCCGCGTTCGTGAAGACAGTTTTGTACCAACCGCCGCCTCCCCCAAGCCGCCCGTGGCACGGGAGGCTGGATTGTGTGGGGGCCCGGGGGGGGGGGGCCTGTGCAGAGGACGGGAGAGCATCTTTGTCAGTTTTCTTTTATCTTTTGAACCCCCTGTTCCAGCGGCGAAATCCGCTTAGGACTCGAAGGAGAGGAAGGAGGACGGGGAGGAAACTGGCGGGCGGCCCAATCTTTTCAATGCCTGGCGTTCGTGAGGTCTTGGCCCCAGCGTTCGTGCGGGTGTCGGTCGGCAGGCTTCCTGAGCCCCGGGGCCCCGAGCGGGCCTCCGAATGGCTACGCTGACTTGGAGTCGGCCAGCCGTTCTGTTCCCGATTGGTTCTGGGCACCGAAGGTCTTGTCCTGCTACAGTGGGAACCCATGTTAAGAAACACCCTGCTTGGAGCCAGGGTGCCCTGGGTTTCTTGGGTTTCGATGGTTTTGCGAAGGAAAGCGTGACGCCCGCACCAAAAATCAACGGACGTCCTGGGGTCCCAGAGTTTCTTGTGGAAGGTTTCTTGTGGTCGACCTCCTACTGTAAGGCAGGGGTGGATGTGGTTGTGGACGAGCGTATGCAGGGCGCTAAGGACCTGGTGCGCTCGGTCTTCGGAGCCTTTTCTTCCGCCACTTGGCGTGCGATTCGAGGCAGGGAGGTCGAACAAAGCACGAAGTTCGATCCTGACGGCCCATGCAACAGCGAAGCTTGGAACAGTGTCCCACAACGTACTCTCCTTGCGTGGAGGTGAAGCGGAGGAACGCCCCAACCTCCCAGCATCCACCTCAATCGTCCCCCCTCGCCGTCCTCTTCCCTCTTCCCTCTCCAACCCTTCTCCTCTTTCCCACTAGGGAGGTGGATGAGTGGGGAGGGGTTGACAGCATCGGCTTGGCACGTGGGAAGGCCAGACATGATGCACCGGGCACCCCCGCTGGTCCAACAGAGCTGGAAGTTGGTGCCCGAGGAC